TAATTTTGAAAATCTCTATAGAATTTTTTGTTGTTTTGAGCAAGAAATTAACTTTTTTCATATAAAGTTTGTATAACTGGGTGTTCTGGACAAGATACCATTATTGGTATCTATTTTGAAATTTGTTTGATTAATTGTTGTCAATAAATTAAATTTACCCTCAGTGACAAACTAGCATTAGCAACCACAGACCTGCAAAAATAAGCAGAGCAGGCAATAAATCTTCTGTTTCTCAGAGGCCACAATGCTGGTGGTCCTTTATTTTTTCACCCATTTCCTTTTTTTTTTCTTTTTTTTTTCGTAACAAGGGAGGTTCGGGTGGGCATATCGTTAATAACAGAATAGTGATTCATCATTTAATTATAATTTGACAAATGCTCGCGCCTTCCCCATTCTTTGCATCCTCCTCCCTTTCAATTCTCCGCTCTGCCAAACTGTCACGCACTCCCCCCGTGGGATTAATTCGAGCTGTCTGTCTTTGTGAGGCTGCCGGCGCTCTCGGGGCGGCGGGTGCACGACACTGTCAATGAACAGAGCGCCTGACACTTCCAGGGAGGCGCACACAGACGCACGATCCCCGCTTCCCGTGTTATTGTTTTCACCTTAACCCCCTCCTCCTCCTCCTCCTCCTCCTCCTCCTCTCCTCCTGCCTGTTTCCCTGTCTGAGTGTGTGTGAGTGTGTGTGCACCTTTCTCCCTTCCTGTCTCCTTCTCCTGTTTTCTCCTCCAGCTCTCCCTGTCTCTCTCCTCCTGTCTGTCGCTCCTCTTTTTTCTCTTCCTTCCACCCGCCCACCCTCAACCCTTACAGAGAGAAAGGGACAGCAGCATCAGGAGGAAATATCACACAAAGGAGACGCCGGTGGAGCTCCAGTGGAAACGAGAGTAAAACAAAGAATGAAATCCCCTCTAACCGTCCAAGTTCAGAGCCAAGTAATGCATATTAACCATAACGACACACGGGGGACAATCATTGCCCCCCCCCCTGCAGCCGACAAGCAGATGCTAATGGGTGGCCATTAAAAACTGGGCTTGCTTGAGGTGAACCGGTGCACTTGTGTCGCCTAAATCCTGCAGGCCTTAGCCCCAGCTGGAGAGATAAGGTTTAATACCAAGCACAGGGCCCAGCCTTATCTCCCCTGCCGATGGAGAGAGAGAGAGAGAGAGAGAGAGAGAGAGAGAGAGAGAGGGGGAGAGGGGGGGGGGGGTGGGGGGGGGGGGGGGG